AAAAAAAAAAAAAAAAAAACATATACTTACTGTAAAACAAGAGTGAGTAATTTTATTGCTTGTACTGCAACATCATATTCTTTGTCAAGGGTCATAGACACAATTCTATCCTAAGGACAAAAAAATTAAAATATTTTTAAAAGAAAAGGAAGAGAAAAGTGTTTACAAATTACAAGTTATTTGTAAATTCTTAAAATAATGCTAACCTTGAACCGACTGGTAAAAAGTTCCAGTTTGGAATTAAGCTCTTTGTTATAATAAAGCCCTTGCAGAGCAGTAAGACATTTGAGTCTTACTTCACCTTGCTATAAAAAAAAAAAGAGAGAGAGAGACAATGCATTAAAACTACGTATTTTCAACTTCAATATTCAAGATGTGTACAATATTTTCCACTTTAAAATTTTAAACATTTCCTACCACAGCATTCCTTCAGAAACTATCATCTTTAATAAAGCAAAAATAATAACCAGTATATACATTTATGACTAAATTCCTATGTGGTTACTATTTCTATAGTTCAAAGGGTAATTTTTGAAAATTTGTTAAGAACAAAATATTTAACATAAATGTTAAGAACAAAACTATTGTGAAAAAACAAGAGGAGCATGTGTCACAGTCATTTTCTGCTATGGAAACTAATGTTTGGAAAGAATATATAAAATTACCTTCTTCAAGGCAAGTGAAGAAGCAGCCTAAGAGAATAGTAGTGTAATGAAAATATATTAAAAAGGTCAGAAACCAAGTTGTAAGGTATAATCCGGCTAAGATACAGGTTTGTCAAAAGAGTGGATCAAAACTGAAGAATTTTTTTTAAAGTATATAGCTCACAGATAACAGAATACTGGTTCTTCTTTGTGCTCTAAAGATATGCCTCACTACCATCATGATTCTAATATTTCAGCAAAAAAATGATTCACCATTAATTTAAGGTTAAATCAGTGGCCAGTTTTCAAAAAAATCTAGGGGACTTTATGTGATAGAAATTAAATTTTTACAGAGAAGATAGAAAAGAATAAAGGGGGGGCTTACAGAAACGTGTCACCAGGTATACATACAGGGAGATAACTCATGAATGAGAGCTACAGGCAGCCATGCTGATGTGTAGAAAGCAGCAGTCTGAAGGGCCATCTTACCTTATCATGCATAGTCCAACCAACATATTTTAAATAACTGTCATTAAGAAAGGCATCACTATACATCTTCATCCAAATGCCAATCTCTTCAATGCATATAGCTCGAATTTCAGCTATCGCATCACTGAATGGAGGAAGGAAAAATGATGCATAATTAGTGCCAATATACCATAAAACTTATGGTTTATTCAAGAGACACCAAGTACTTCAGATTTACTATGAATATGATACTATCTTAAGTATTACTGGGGATTAAAAAATAGAAATGAAGCATGGCCCTGAATGCCAAAAGCTTACAGTCTAGGTGGCAAAGGATAAGTATCAACATATATCTAAAATTATATAAAACTACAAACAAAATCCCATCCCCACCTTTTATACCATACCATATCCCAGCCTTTGCTCACACCTGCTGCGCATGGTGTGTTCAGAAGACAGCAGGCACACTTGTCTGGCTAGAGCATAATTTCCAGGTGAGAATTATTTACACATTACACTGAGGTCAAGCTCAATTGGATGTGAATGTTAGACTAAATGATTTTAAATTCATCTTGTAAGTATTGGTGAGTCATTAAAGGCAGAGGAATAACACAATAAAAGGATATTTTAGCTAAACTGCAATAATCTCTACGCATGAGAATGAGGAAATAGACTAAGGTAGTGGTGACAATAGAAGTGAAAATGTAAGAATGGGCTGGGGACATTATAAAGCAAGCATTAACCTGATTCAATAACTGCCAAGTTGAGGATATGTGGAAGAAGCTCAATAAACATACTACTGAAATTTAAGAATAGGTTATAGCAGAAATTGTAATAAGATTACTGTTTCTTTCCTCTGTTCATTCAAAATAGCAAAAGAAAACATCTCACTTTAACCTATCTAAATTGTCCCACTGATATTCAGTGGAAGGGAAGAGAGTCAGAAGTCAGCATGTGCAGGCTCTACTAACATAGCGCATGCAAAGGTAATTAAGTATTGTGTAGCCTGACTCCTAATAGCAGTAACTTCAATGGGCTGCAAGTCAGGCACAGCATTATCCCATTTTTCAGATGGGAAACACCAAATTCACAGGAGTTAAATAACTTGCCCAGAGTAACTGAGTGGCACAGTTTAGTCTAACATAATTTTACTATAACATTCTTCCCACTAATTTAGACTACCTACACCACTAAATATGTAAACTTGCTAAGTAGAAATTATATAGTGCTATTATGAAAAAGCTGTCACAACTTACCGGTATCTATGTACAAACACTCCTTTAAATATTGCATTCATCATATTTTCTATTTCATCTTGGTTTTCCTGAAGCTGTAAAGAATAGATCATTTCTTTTCAATTGTAAAGAAGACAATCAAAGGAACACCTTTAAGTTGTTACAAGCATGAAAAAAGCAGAATTCTCCAGTATTTTGGTAAATTTTGAATTCTACCAGATAACAGTAACCATACAGAAAAATTAACAGTTATCAGGTAGATAAAATTCCTTGATACCTGAAATATCTGACTTGGATTTTAATATTTAGCTATTAATATTAATATTTTTTTTCTAATGCTCAAAATATCTACAAAAGAACTGTAAAGAAGGCCAGGCACAGTGGCTCATGCTTATAATCTCAGCACTTTGGGAGGCCGAGACAGATAGATCACTTGAGGTTAAGAGTTCAAGACCAGCATGGCCAACATGGTAAAACCCCATCTCTGCTAAAAATACAAAAATTAGCCAGGTGTGGCAGCACAAGCCTATAATGCTAGCTACTCGGGAGGCTGAGGCACGAGGTTCAGCCTGGGAGGTGGAGGTTGCAGTGAGCTGAGATAGCGCTACTGCACTCCAGCCTGGGCGACAAAGTGAGACTCGGTCTTAAAAAATAAAAAAAACTCTGTAAAGAAATCTGTAATGTAGCTTATTACATATCATTTATTATATAGCATATAAATAAATTAAGAGGGAAAAGTATCAATATTCTAAATTATATGAAAAAGATGAGGAATTTAGACAGGAGGAAATAGCAGGATTTTCCCTAGTTTTCTTGGGTCTGGATATTTTTTAAAGTTATTAACTATTTCGAAAACAACCAATTTAGAATTACAGCTACCAATCCCCTCCCCCAAAAAAATTCAAGATCAGGTCAAAAATTCATAGAGGACTATGACAACTACTGAACTCAACTGCATTACTAATATTTTTGAAACCTCAGACTTTGCCTATTTGATATGAAAACAAACATCTCCATTATGAAATAGCAAAATATTTTATCACCAATGAAAAAAGAATTTAAATTACAGCCACAGCATCAAAAGATTTTATTTAAGGCTCATTCAAAGTTGAACTTGGTGGTCAGTCACCAGTGTTAAACAAATGCCTTCTATGGTATTAAAAAAACACACACACTAATTTAGATGCTAATAAACAGCTTATGTTATTTTTCAAAGTGATTTCACATAATTGTGAAACCTCTTTTCATCCTGACAAAAGGTTTTTCACAGTAGAGATGAATAATGCTAAAGCTTAAGATAACTTCTCAGACTAACCCCGTCTCCTTATTTAAAGCCCTTTACCCTTAATACTAGTCCACGCAGATTGAAAATAAGAAAACAGTATTGCTGGCATGGATATTCTTCAGAATTTTGTTGGGCAAATAATTTGAAATGTTTTTTACTTTTAAATATTTCAAAAACAATTATCTGAGGCACTAGCAAAGTTATATCCTAATTAATGGTGACCAAGTTGGTTACACAAGAGCCCAAATATTCAATATAAAAGTTTACCTCTTTCCGCTTTTGTAGCAGGAGTTCTAGCCTCTCATTGGCTCGTTTTCCAATCATTTTATTCCGTTCTGCTTCATATTGTCTTTGTGTATTATCCATATTAATGCTAAGATTTAGTGCCACATTCACCAAAGCTGTCATCAACTTCATAGCTATTTTTGAAGAGTAAAAATATGGTGAAATTAACCTAACAGATACAAAAATTTACAACTTAAGATCAAATAGAAAAATTAAGCAGAAATAAGCTAATCTGCTTCTAACAAAAGAAAGATGCAGGTGCTACAAATAACAACAATAAAATAACATAAAATAACTTTTCAGGAATTATCTCCTAATCCTCACAATGGCCCTCTCAAAGGCATTATACCCATTTCATTCACAGCAAAATTGAAGCTCAGGGAAATTTACAACTTTGCCTCAGTTCACATAAGCAGTCAAACCCGGATTCAAACCAAGGCAATCGGACTCCAGACTATACTTAAATCCCATTATTCTATAATATGTGCCCTAAAATAATCTTTTTCATAGATCATGATTTACCTTCTAAAGTAATTTTAGTTCACAACGAAGTTATTTAGCTATCTCAATAATTAAAAGGAACTTGATGGTTTTATATCAAATAATATAAAAAAAAGCTGAGGAATTTTATCAATATTTGCTTTCCTTTCATTTTACTCCATAACATATCATAAAGACTGATGAAGTCATGAAAAGTCAAAACTACAAAGGGTAAAATGTCACTTAATTAAAGTGCTTTTTCATAAAACTTCCTCCAGATCTCTACCTTCTGTTACTAAACACTTACTCCTGATACAAGATTCTTATTATCTGGGATTTAAAACGTATTAACTGAAAGATCTGATCACTTTTTGCTTTCTTTAGCTTACTCCAGACTACTTCTCAGACTCGGTGCATTGCATGATATAACAACAATAAAACTACATCTTAATTTGCAGCTATTGGCTCTCTTAAAGAAAGATTTCCCAATTTTTTGCTCTAATTTCATGCCCCCAGCAAACCAGTTTGCCACTCTGATCTAAAATTATTCATCTTGCACCATAATCCTTGTTTTAATTTACTTTAGCCATCAAGTTCTTGACACTGCTACCTTAAGTGCATAAAGCAAGCTCACATTCGTATTTTCTGACTTCAAATCTAAAAACAAAAACAGAACATATGGGAAACTGCATTTTCTCTTTAACAATGAAGGACTCAGAATTGTATCTTTAATCACAGACTTAATTCTTTGAGAAAATATTCTAAATGGAAAAAAAAAAAAAAACCCACAGAGAATAAAAAGTCTTTTTAATTAAAAACCAAAATATCATTAAAAATCAGAATACCATCATAACAATTAAAGCCTGTTTTATTCATTGAAACTCAGAAAGAACATATTCAATAATAGCATATCAACAATTTTACCTTAAGCACAAAAGAGAAACTAATAGATTTTATGAGGTATAATTATATACCTCATTTCAGTAAACTTTAAAGATCAAAGAATTTGCCCCAACCTAAAGTTACCCAGAAACATAAGAAAAATCAACTTCCTGCAGTGTGACTGAAAAAAGAGGCATCATCCAGTAGGGGCCATCCTACCTGGAGAGGCAACGCACACCAGAGACAAACTATACAGTCATCAGAATCATATAAGCAAAATGACTGTGATGGTACCTCCAAATCTGCTGTCAATATCTCCCCTGGTAACATACCCTTCAAGAACCCAATACATACCTATCATCCAATTTCCCCTTCTTGTGGCATAGTATTTTTCAAGAATCCAATGCATACCTATAATCCAACTTTCCCTTGCTGTGGCACAGTATGCATAGTGTTCAAAAAAATCACCATATAGTAGCTATAGTATAACTTATAGTATGCCTTCACAAAATTGAAACTGAAATTACCATCCCATTTCCAATAATTGACAGGAAGGATGGGGGAAGTGTCCTCTTAGTGGTCACTTTATAAATAAAATTAATTTGTATCACTCTTATTTCCTTTCTCTTTTAATGAGAATCTTTTTCATCTCAAGCCTAAGACAATACGTAGAAAATATTTCTAAATACTCACCTGCCAGGGTGCTTGTATGTCGAAATGCTCTGACTTGTGAGTCAGACAATCCTGTAAGAAGTGAAATGACCGTATCCATCATATACTCATCATATATGATACTATATTGACATTGCCGTACTAACACGCCAATGAATTCACAAAAACTGGATTTGAACTTCTTCCACTGAGGACCAGCCATGGTAAGTGGATAATCTCCACTATCCTAAAACAAAATTTACAACAGGAATTTCATTTAGAATGCATGACTTAACATACCGCTTGCTTTTTAAATACCCTACCTAGGCAAAAGCATGAAAAGATATCTTATCTCACCTTTCTTCTCCAATTAATCCTCAAAGTAGGCAAGAGAATAACATATAAAGGTAGGGGTACCTCTGAACACTCTGCTCTTTAAGATCAAAATAGATATTCTGAATTTACTTTAATCAATGAAAATACATACCAATTACTCAGGTTAAAATTTTTAAAAGCCTCCCTCATCAAAACAAAACATCCTGGTGGTAAGCACAGATATAAAGCAAAAGCAAACCAAAACGAAGCCAAAATTCGATTTTTAAATGGATTTGAAATGATGGAAATCATATTTTCAGCTAATCCACTAAATTGATATATGATGTATAAATAAACAAAACATTACAAATATGTTTTCATTCGCTTCAAATACATACATCACACAGTTAACAAATACAATCATAATTTTTTAAAGTAATGGAAATGTAGCTAGTTTTGCCTTGGAAGACTGGTACTCAGGTTTTCCTTTGTACAAGAGAGCATTCTCTAGTCTCAGGGTAAATTGAGATTCTCCACTAATCATTAAAAACAACCAAGACCACAGAAATAAAATCAGAGACCAATACCACATAGAACATCTGAAAGTAAAGGTCACTGACAAGAGCATCCTAGAGAGATAAGGTAATTTTATCAGTACAGTTTAGTAAAAAAAAAAAATTTTTTGAGACAGAGTTTTCCTCTTGTTGCCCAGGCTGCAGTGCAATGGCACAATCTCGGCTCACTGCAACCTCCACCTCCCGGGTTCAAGAGATTCTTTTGCCTCAGCCTCCCGAGTAGCTGGGATTACAGGCGTGTGTCACCACACCAGGCTACTTTTGTATTTTTAGTAGAGACAGGATTTCACCATGCTGGTCAGGGTGGTCTCAAACTCCTGACCTCAGGTGATCCGCCTGCCTCAGCCTCCCAAAGTGCTGGAATTACAGGCGTGAGCCACCATGCCCAACCTGTTTAGTAAATTTTTAACAATTAATTTTTGTCATTATGTTTTTTAAAATCTTAAGTCATGTCACATCTAAGTGCAGTTGTATCTCATCTGAGAATAAGTTCCTGATATTCAACAAAAAAATTTGCTTATTTTCTGATTAATTTAGTGACTATATTGAAATATATCATCTTAATTGTTGTTAGCAACTTGGTTTGCTGACATTTTCAAACCATACTTCACGACAATTATCTCAAATAGTTTTTTCCTTTTAGTGAGAAAGTTCTCACTAAAACATTTAATATTAAAAGAGTAAAAAATACCACTATTCAAAATTACCTCTCAACTACTTGCGGACTGATTAATAGCACTTAGTAATCATCAAAGCCATTTTAATTCATCTATCTTTTAGAATAATAGTTCAAAGCTCCTTCATCAGTTTAAGCAAGAAAAAAAAAGGCCAAATAAAACTCAAATCAGACAAGGTTTTTTGCTTGAAAACCCAGAATGAAAAACTTTGGAGGAGTAAAACTACTGGCACTGAAATACAGCTGTAACCCAAACAAACCAAAATCTCTTCCCTGAAGAAGCTTAATTTATAGTAAATCTATGTATGTATTTATTGGTAACGATACTTCAAAGAGCTCACTGTAATAAAGAATCAACTCAATCTAGCCCTAGGGAGGTAAGTGGGGGAAAACTCACTCTAAACTAATATGTAATCTTTGTCGTTCTCAAGAGTTTTTATTAAACAATAAAAATATCTATATACTCCTTTGCCCTAGCTACCAGGTTCCCCAAATATTGCTGAAACCTTCCTTTTACAACATTCCAGAATATGTTCTTATATTCTTCCTTGAAATTGTCATTTTTGGCAATAATGACTACCATTTATTAAGTTCTTGCGATGTTCTGGGAACTGTAAAATGTTAAGCAATTTTCAAACATTACTCAATTCAATCTTTGTAAGAGCCTTATGAATAAAGTACTATTAGGCCCATTTTACAGATAATGAAATTGAAACTGGCTGGATGCAGTGATAGCTGCCAGTAAACCCAGCACTTTGGGAGGCCAAGGCGTGTGGATCGCTTGAGGTCAGGAGTTCAAGACCAGCCTGGCCAACATGGTGAACCCACATCCCCACCCCCACCCCGTCTCTACTAAAAGTACAAAAATTATTCAGGCATGGTGGCAGACGTCTATAATCCCAGCTACTTGGGAGGCTGAGACAGAACTGCTTGAACCCGGGAGGCAGAGAACCTGCCACTGCACTCCAGCCTTGGCGACAGAGCAAGATTCTGTCTCAGAAAAAAAAAAACCTGATACTAAGACAACAACTTGCCAAAGGTTGCACAGAAGCAACATTTGATTAAATCTAATGCCAAAGCTTTTATCTTCAACACTGATGCTTACAATTTTTTTTTTTTTTTTTTTTTTTGGACAGAGTCTCACTCTGCTGCCCAAGCTGGAGTGTAGTGGCTTGATCTCAGCTCACTGCAACCTCTGCCTCCCAGGTTCAAGCAATTCTCCTGTCTCAGCCTCCCAAGTAGCTGGGACTACAGGCGCATGGCACAATGCCCAGCTAATTTTTTTGTATTTTTAGTAGAGACGGGGTTTCACCATATTGGTCAGGCTGGTCTCGAACTCCTGACCTAAGGTGATCCACCTGCTTCAGCCTCCCAAAGTGCTGGGATTACAAAGCATGGACACAGCACCCAACCTAATGCTTACAATTTAATAATACTTTTAAAAATAAGTCAAGATCAACATTCATAAGTTATCAAAACACTTAAGGTAGTAAGTTACCTCATCAAATTCTTCGGTCATTTTGCGAATTATCTCAGAGTTCTGCATATGTCTGAACATCTCGGCTGTGACAACTCCTGAAATTTACAAATGTCAGAAGTTAATATATTGTGTGATAAAAGAATAAAGAAAACTTCTAAGTCAGTCTCTAACACTAAGAAGTTTATCGTCACACAATAAAAGGCATACTTCTCCAACCATCATCTAATGATCTTTACCATGATTCTCAAATCTGTAAATAAAGCACAAATGCTACCTATTCTCAATATGCACAAGAAAACAGTCCCACACTTCTGACAAATATCTTTTTTCCTAACACAATTACCTTTGGCCATTTCTACAGGACTTATTTTACTCATGCTATAATATTTATACTGGTGTCTCTTTAACATAAACTATATGTCATTAAGAGTGAGACAGCATCTAGTATAAGACTTAAAACCTTGAGGATGAAGCTGAAGATAAGGAAGGGAGTAATAGCTAGAGTTCACTTTAGTCAGGCTTCTTTATTAAGCACTATTGTATGTAAGGCAACTAACAACTTAACATCCTCTTAAAGAGCTAAGTAGTAAATTGTAGTTCCTGCCTGCCTAGAAGTCTGTAATCTAGTTAAAACTTACAAATAATGAATACCAAAAAGTAAAAGATGTAAACTGTCAAAGGGTTACTTATAATCAATGCTCTGATGTGTGGAAATGTCAAAGAAATGCTGTCTCTCTGACTCTACCTCCACTCTATACCCACCAGAAAAACCATACATGCTATAAGTTAGAAAATCAAGAACTAACTTATTGTCAAGAGCTAACAAATTGTCAAAGAAAAACAATTTGATAAGGACCTTTAGAATCTTACAGGAGGATGGGAGAGGAAAAAAGAAAGGGTGCACATTAGAAGTAGTAAAACATTAGTCAGGTGGAGACCAAACATCAGAAAGGAAATTTCTAGTATGCAGTAAGAAAATATACATGAAGTTTCACTGATGGAACATCAGACTGAGAAAGAGAGAGACGGGGAAGGGGTAATCAAAGTAAATACCAGATTTTCAAAATCCTATTTTTATTGTTGAATTATTTTTGCTTACCATTCTTATCACTAGGAATACCATAAATATAGTAATATCTAAAAGAAGAACGTCTTGGTATAGGAAGATGAGATTCATAAATAAGAACTAGATATAATTAATAGATTTTTTTCAAATGACCAGAGCTATATTTTGTATATGCATCCATCTGTGTGTGTGCACACCTGTGTATATACATAGCTGTAAAACCATAATTCCATCTCCACAGATGAGGAAATTAGGGCTTAGGCTAAGCAATTAAATAATTTGTCTGAGACTATTCACCTAAATCATGCTACCTCCATCTTACCTGGGTGAGATCAATTTCTAGTATTAAGTCAGGGCCCTAGAAAAGCCCTTACTTACCACAACATTAAAAAA